GTCGAACATCAACAAACTGTGTGCTCGGTCGAACAGATGGCTTTTGAAGTTTAACGTGTCCAAATGCGTGGTTTTGCACCTGAACACCGGCCGCAATGCCTCTCCGAATCACCAGTACTTTATTGACGGGACGAGGTTAGAAACTGTGGAAAGACACAGAGATCTGGGTGTATGGACGACCACAAATCTATCGCCATCAGAACACTGTAGAAAGATGGTCCAGAAGGCAACTAGTACTCTACACTGGATCAGACGTGCATTTAAAATATTTCCTCCCGAACTTTTCGAAAGACTCTTTGGTGTCTTTGTAAGACCTCATCTAGAGTATGGAATGCCAGCAGCTTCACCATGGATGAGGAATGATATCAACTTACTCGAACATGTGCAACGCAGAGCGACAAAGATGGTCGACGGTCTGAAGCATTTGTCTTATCAGGAGAGGCTGAATTTGATTGGCCTATTCCCTCTCTCTTATAGACAAATAAACTGCAGTCTACTCTGGACGTTCCGGATTGTTCGCGGCCAGGGTTGCTCATTAAGATCAGAGGACTTCTTTGAGTTCGCCCGTACAAACCAACTACGCGGCCATGCATACAAAGTCGGGAATGAGAGCACGCGTTTAGACCGACGAAAATTTTCATTCAGCCAGCGGGTTGTCAGGCCGTGGAACTCGCTTCCAAGCGAGATGGTGACGGCTGAAACAGTTCGTGTGTTTAAAAGAAAACTTGCTCGTCTAGTTTTCGACAGAAATCGACTTTTACAGCATGACTATGCACAGCCAGCTTTGTAAAATCTGTCATATACAATCTTCCGCACTAATTTACAGTGACCTTATGCACTACTTTATGATTACGATTGAACTGTGACCCAATCACATTTTAAATTCCTGCAATTTTATTTTATTTTTGAGTATGAATCTGCGAAAGCACTGTACATAAATAGGGTCATCAAGGGCTCTGTCTGTAACCCTTCAATATATACATATACATCCGTTTTTCAAAGATCTTGGAAAGCGCGGAGTCCAGGTAGTCTGCGAGTTCATTCAGAACTTTTCAGGATATATCATACGAACCAGGGGATTTAATGAACTGTAGCTGTCCGGAGTTTCCTTACCGCGTCCGTTTTGAGCGTCGCCGTATTCACCGAATTTCTAGTTGTGGAAATTAAGTGGTGTACTTTCTAATCAAAAGGTGGCTCTTCCGTATACACGAAAATGGAAAATTCGGATAAGAGCTTCGTATTATCTGAGTTATTGGTTAACACATTCTCCTGACAATTCTTTAGACAGGTAATGGAGTCCGGACTGTGTTTTTCCTTATTCACGCATACAACGAACTTTTCTGGACTTCTTGATATTCATTTGACTATTTCTAAAACAAATGCTGTTCGTTCTCTCCTTAAATTTTTCTACGCGTACTTCGTCGTTTCCTAAATTTAAAGAAATGCTCGAACTTTCGATATCTCCTCAAAAGTCTCTGTTTCTCCCTGAGATTCCTTTTTATTTTCGACGTCACACACCCGGGTCGGCAGACATGCGATCTCCCTTCAGGCGGGAAAATATTATCTAAAGAGTTCAGAATCAAGTTCTTAAAAAAATTCGGCAGCATTTGAGTCGCAAGCATGTGTAAGTTTACAGCCTATCTCACTCAGCAGTCTTTTTAACTTGAAAAATATCCGTTTTATTAATTCTTCTCCTTTACTGTTGAAGTTTCGAGAACCGTAAAATGACTGTACTCCGAACAAGAGCACAGTAATCACTTCGGCACAGTAGGGTATCAGACCGCAATTCATAGATGCAGTTTCCATCCCTGGTAATGATAAAATGCGAGTAGCTTGACCGCTGTCCACTTCAGACTATATGGGGGTCGATGGTTCAATCCCGTACTCTGTCGTGCCATTTTAGTCAGTAACATATGCATTCATTATTCTTTATAGTAAGGGATGTAGTGGCACTATTCCGAGCGCCTGCCACAACGCTGAGTATCTTATGAGTGTTTTCACGTGCGCACGATGGCTGTCTGGCATTCGTCCACTCGGCTTTCCAACTGGTCAATCAAATTAAAGGCCGAGTTATACGTGTCCTGGCTTAGGGCGCCTTGACGCATTCCCTCACACTTGGGACGCCGCTCTTCCGACACTAGACGTGCCCTCATATGGCAGCTAACTCTCTCCAACTCCTCTTGCAGGTATTCTGTACAAAATAGAAAAACCTTCTAATTGATGTTCATCTTCTTTTTCCATTCGGGACCGGACCTGAATAGAAAAAGGTTCATTATAGCACCTCTTGGGCACTCAGTTTCATTTGAAGGTCGTGGTGGCCAGGGTCTCACCCTTAACCTAGGCTCTCTGACCTGAGTCCACTCGACTGACTTAAGCTCGAATGTCTGGGCTCACACAATCGCAGCCGCTATGCGGTCAATGAAACGTCCCTCACACCTGCAACCACCGCCTGGGCCACTGGGACACCACCCCTTGACAAATGTTACACACACCGACTGGAAACCACTTGAGCTTGTCCCACAGGCCTAAAAAAGCGGCCACCGCCACTGTCCCAAAGACTTTCCAGCATGAATGGACGCAGTCAACGTTAGCCCTGACTTTGTCAGCGGCCACTGCCGCCTGAGAGGTCAACCTCAGGTTCCGTACACAATTAACCCATCAGTCTGCTCACTAAGTCTACACACAAAATCTCCGCCTACTCGCAACAGAATAA